CTGCTTGGGATTCTCTCTCTCCTCTCTCTCTGCCCCTCCCCCATATGCACTGTTTCTCTCTGTCTCTCTCTCTCTCAAAATAAACATTAAAAAAGAAATTTTAAATATTTTGTGAAGCTTATTGCACAAATATGTGTATGTGTGTACAGTTATGAATATACATACAATATATATGAATGTACAGAGAAGTGGTGTAAAACTTTTTTTTTTTTTACTGTGGGCTATGGCCAAATAAGTTTGACAGCTGCTATTCTCACCTATGAACTTCTCTGACCATAGAAGTTGTGCCCTATTTACCTTCATTTCATAAGAACCTACCACAAGGCCTAGCACAGGCCCTCAATATGCAGTTGATGAATAAATCAATGGTGAATGTTACTGCAGAAATCCAATGTTCACTAAACGCTTTTAACTGTGGCCACTTCTGACTATGGCAGCCCCCTGACATCCCAACCTGGAGAAGGAAAAGTAAGGCAGATCCACAGCCCTCCCAAACGAACTCTATAGGGAGAGGCCCAGACGCAGCTACAGAGGAGTAAGAAGATCTGCCCTTCAAAGGCCTTCCAGTGCCAGTACACAAGGAAGGTTACATTATGATCCAGTTTTTAGTTAACATACCAATAACTAACATTAAAAAAAGAAAAAGTCTTCAAAATACTCAAAGCACTGGAATTGTCTATTAGCAACATTTATTTGCTTTAAGATAAACCTAAGACAGAAAATGTATGATTCTGAAAGCAAGAGGCAAACAGGCGGGAAGGAAAGGGGAGGAGAGGAGAATGTGCATTCTAACTAGAGGCAAAAAGAAACTCCAAAGAAGTCACCTAACTGAAGCATCTTGGATAAAAGTAAAAGCTCGGGGGGGGGGGGGGGGGGGGGGGGGGGGGGCGCCTAGAGGGATCAGTTGGTTAAGGGTCCGACTCTGGGTGTCAGCTCAGGTCATGATCTCTACACTGCCAGCACAGAGCCTGCTTGGGATTCTCTCTCCCCCCCTCTCTGCCCCTCCCCAACTGCGCACGCACGCACACACTCACATGTGAACTCAGTATTTCTCTCTCAAAATAAATAAACTTAAAAAAAAAAAAAAAAAAGTAAAAGCTCTGAAGTGAGCTTAGAAAAGTAAGGAGCCAGAACATGTAGTAGCTGGTAGGCAAGTCAGGATAAGATGTTTTTTATTCTACACCTGCTGGAAAGCTACTGAAGGATTTTGTTTCTTTAGAATTTGGAGACCGGAGGGGCGCCTGGGTGGCGCAGTCGGTTAAGCGTCCGACTTCAGCCAGGTCACTCCGCGATCACCATCTCGCGGTCCGTGAGTTCGAGCCAACATCAGGCTCGAGCTCTGGGCTGATGGCTCGCAGGCCTGGAGCCTGCTCGATCTTGTGTCTCCCTCTCTCTCTGCCCCTCCCCCCCCGTTCATGCTCTCTGTTCCCTTCTGTCCCAAAAATAAATAAATGTTGAAAAAAAAAATTTAAAAAAAAAAAAAAAAAATAAAATAAAAAAAAAAAGAATTTGGAGACCGGGGGCGGGGGGAGGGAGGAGGACACAGGTATTTGAGTTTTGAAAAGATCATTATGGATAGGTATGCAGTCTCCAATCAGACTGCCCACTGCCATTTCAATTACTTTCAAAGAACTACAGTTTCTTCCTCATTAGACACAGTATCTAGGTTGTGCTTACAAAGAGAAGCAAGTGTTTCTGCATCTAGCATGTGTTCTGAGTGACCTATACGGTACTTACCATATGAGGCGGGGGAGCTGGACCGGGAGAGAAGGGAACCCTTCCCCACATTTTCATGATATCACCAAGAGGTTGGAAGCTTTCATCACACGCTCTCTTCACCAATAAAGACATGGTAAAATAGCCCGCCTGAAACCATTCCGCCATCTCCTGATTATTGAAGGGACCTAGAATAGCACCATTTAAACAGAAGGGCAATAAAAATCCTTTAAGACTGAAGAGGAAAAAAATATTTCCTAAGTCTGATCCTCATCCAGAGGTACAACTTGTTTCAGGTAACACCTGTCAAATACGTGATACAATATTTTAATTCAATTTATCTCCAAAAGTGGTAAACAGGCTTCTAACTAATAAAATACAACAGAAATGATTTTGAAATAAAACTTATGTCTATATATCCCAAATTGTATGTGGGGTTTTAATTACTTTAAGGAGCATAACTGTCTCCATCTCACTCAATCTCTACAAATTCATTTGTCAGAAAAGTATAATAAAACTAAAAAATGTGTTGGCTAGACTTTGTATCACTTATGTATAAAGAATATAAACACGTAGGGCTAAATATGCTTTTTTCTAAATTTCACTTTCTGCCAGATTATTAAAGGTTAGGCAAAGTATAAATAATCAAATTAAATCAAATTATGAGGCGGACTGGTGGCTAGGTCTGTTAAGTGTCTGACTTTGGCTCAGGTCATGATCTTGCAGTTTCTGAGTTCAAGCCCTGCATCAGGCTCTGTGCTGACAGCTCAGAGCTTGGAGACTACTTTGGATTCTGTGTCTCAATCTCTGTCTGTCTCTCTGCCCCTCCCTGCCACTCAAAAATAACCGAGCATTAAAAAACATTAAGATAGGGGCGCCTGGGTGGCTCAGTCGGTTGAGCGGCCGACTTCGGCTCAGGTCATGATCTCGCGGTCCGTGAGTTCGAGCCCCGTGTCGGGCTCTGTGCTGACAGCTCAGAGCCTGGAGCCTGTTTCAGATTCTGTGTCTCCCTCTCTCTGACCCTCCCCCGTTCATGCACTGTCTCTCTCTGTCTCAAAAATAAATAAACGTTAAAAATAATTTAAAAAAAAAAATTAAGATAAATTATTTACGTAGGTATGACTAAATCTGGCTTACGGTGGAGGGAGAGTAACATTCTCTACATGTTTTACAATTAAAAATCAAATATTTTATACATAAAATTAACAGATTCACGCTGATCAATAACAATTAATTAATTCATTCAGCAAATATTTACTAAATACCAATTACATGAGTCTAGGTAATGAGAATACAACAGTTAAATAAAACAAAAGCCTATAATGTCCACTTCCGGGAAGATGGAGTAGATCTACTTTTCCCTGTTCTTCCTGCTAAATACAACTAAAAACCCTAACATTATATATACAAAGGAAACAAAAGAACACTATGAACAGTAGAGAGAAGGCAGACTGGCCTTGGTGCCTGAGGAACCACATGGAGGTGAATTCCCTGACCTTTCATTTTACTTCATATATTCCAGAACTAAGAAACAACAAAAAACATGACCCAATATATACATCTGAAAACATGACCCAAGTATATGCTATCTACAAGAAAGTCATTTCAAATATAACAATATAGGCAGGTCGAAAATAAAAGGATAGGAAAAGGTATATCATGCAAGCATTAATCAAATTTTTAAAAAGCTAGAGTGGCTATATTAGTATTTGATAATGTAGACTTCAGAACAAAGAAAATTACCAGAGACAGAGAAGGATATTATATATTAATAAAGGGTCAATCCACCAGGAAGACACAGCAACGGCAAAAGCGTACGCACTGAACAAACCTGCAAAATATGTGAAGCAAAATCTAATAAAACTGAAAAGACAGAGAAATCTCCAGTAACAGCTGAAGGCTTCAACACCACTCTCTCAACAACTGACAGAACTAAACAGAAAACCAACAAGATTATAGAACTCAACAACACCATCAATAAGGTCCAACTGATATTTACAGAACACTCCAAAACAACAAAGTGTACATTCTTTCAAGAACCCACAGAACATACAGCAAAACGAACTATATTCCGAGCCATAAATAAATCTCAATAACATTTTAAAAGCTGAAATTAAATATGATGTGTTTCAACCACAATAAAATAAAGCTAGAAATCATTAACAGACAGGTAACAGGGAAATCTCCAAACCCTTGGAAACCACATAACACACTTCCAAATAATCCATGAGTAAAAGTGGAGGTCTCTTAGGGCAGCTGGTTGGCTCAGTCGGAGGAGCATACAACTCCTGATCTCGGGGTTGTAGAGATTACTTAAAAATAAATATAGGGGCGCCTGGGTGGCTCAGTCGGTTAAGCGTCCAACTTCAACTCAGGTCACAATCTCGCGGTCTGTGAGTTCGAGCCCCGCATCGGGCCCTGTGCTGACAGCTCAGAGCCTGGAGCCTGCTTCAGATTCTGTGTCTCCCTCTCTCTCTGACCCTCCCCCGTTCATGCTCTGTCTCTCTCTGTCTCAAAAATAAATAAACGTTAAAAAAATTAAAAATATATATATATATATATTTAAAGTGGAGGTCTCAAGAGGAATCACAAAAAAAAAATACACTGAACTGAACAGAAATAAAAATACTTGTATCAAAATTTGTGGTACCCAGTTAAAGAAGGGCTGAAAGAGAAATTTACAGTTTTTATTATAGCTTACATTGGAAAAGAAAGTCTCAAATCAATAATATAAGCATCCACCTCAAGAACCTAGAAAAAGAAAAGCAAAATAAACCCTAAGAAAAAGGAAGGAAATAGTAAAGAGTAGAACTCAATGCAATTGAAAACAAAAAAGTGGGGGGAAAAAATCAATGAAACAAAGTTAATTCTTTGAAAAGATCGGTAAAATTAAATCTCTAGCAAGACTGACAATGAGAAAAAGAGAAATGAACAAATTACGAACATCAGGAATAAATCACGGCCTATCACTACAGTACCTGCAAACATCAAAAAGATAGTAAGAGAATATTCTAAACAATTCTACACACACAGATTTGACATCTTAGATGAAATGGACCAATTCGTCAAAAAACACAAACCACCAAAAATCAACCCTTACTAAATCAGTAATTTAAACAGCTCTGTAACTATTCGGGATACTGAATTTGTAATTTTAAAATTCCCAAAAATAGGGCATCTGGCTGGCTCAGTCGGTAGAGCAAGCGACTCTCAATCTCGATGTCCTGAGTTCAAGCACCATATGTTGGGCATGGAGCCTATTTTAGAAAAAAAATAAATAAAATTCCCTAAAAACAGGTACCCAGGTGGTTTCACTGGAGAATTCTCCAAAACATTTAAAGATGAATTAACACCAATTCTAAACAATCTTCCAGAAAATAGAAAAGGGAGTACCTCCCAGCTCATTTTATGAAGCTGATATTATTATTACCCTGATACTAAAAGCAGACGATGAGAACACCAAAAAAAAAAAAAAAAAAAAAAAAAAAAAAAAAAAAACAAAACTACAGAACAACATGTCTCATGAACAGAGACACAAAAATACTTAACTAAACATTACCAAATAGGATGCAGCAATATATAAAAAGAATTACACACCATGACCAAATGGGGTTTACTCCAAGGATGCAAAGCTGGTTCAATATTCAAAATGCACTCAATTTAATCCACCATCTTAAACTTACTAAAGAAGGAAAATCACGGGACCATAGAAACAAATGCACAAAAAGCATTTGACAAAATCCAATACCCAATCATGATAAAAACTCTCAAACAATGAGGTACTTCCTCAACTTCATAAAGAGCATCGATAAGGGTACTGAGTCAGTGAGAGGAGCCTGCTGCTCTTGATCTCAGGGTCATGCATTTGAGCCCCATGGTGGTGTAGAAATTACTTAAAAATAAATAAATAAAAAACATCTATAAAAACCAAGCAGCTGGGGCACCTGGGTGGCTCAGTTAGGCGACCGACTTCGGCTCAGGTCATGATCTCGCAGTTTGTGAGTTCGAGCCCCGCATCGGGCTCTGTGCTGACAGCTCAAACCTAGAGCCTACTTCAGATTCTGTTCTCCCCTTCTCTCTACCCCTCCCCTGCTCATGCTCTGTGTCTCTCTGTCTTTCAATAATAATAAATGTTAAAAAAATTAAAAAAAAAAAAAAAAAAGAAAACCAAGCAGCTAACATCATACTTAATTATTAAAGACTAAGTGTTCCCCCTAAGATAGGAACATAGGGAAAACAAGGCAAATATGTCTGCTCTCACCATCATATTCAACACAGTGTTGGAAAATACAATAAGGCAACAAAAGGAAATAAAAGGCATAGATTGGAAATGAAAAATTAAAACGATCCCTGTTTGCAGATAACAATGTCTACAAAGAAAATCCTATGGAACCTACCCAAACAACAACAACAAAAACTCCTAAAACTAATAAATGAGCTCAGCAGGTCACAGACTAATGACAAAAATCCAAAATCCAATTCTATATAGTAGGAATGAACACAAAGACACTGAAATATAATAAAACTTACAATCACTCAAAAAAAAAATCAAGTAGGTACAAATCTAATAGAACATGTACAGAATCTATGCTGAAAATGACACAAGTTCATAGACTGGAAGAGTCAACATGAAAAAGATGTCAAGTCTTCAAAACGATACAAAGGTTTAACACTGTTCCTATTAAAATCTCAGCAAGATATATAAACATAGATTTCTGAACACATTTATATGGTAAATATAGACAAGACTATTCTGAAATTTATATGCAAAGGCAAAGGGAACTAGAAAAACTAAAAACTACTTTGCTAAAAATAAACCAGGAGAAAAAAACAACTGGAAGAAATCCATCTACTCAATTTCAAAACATGTTATATAGCTACAGTAATCAAGACTGTGATATTAGCGGCAACACAGACACATGGATCCGTGGAATAGAAGAACACAGAAACAGACCAACATAAATATGCCCAACTGAATTTTGAGAAAGGTACAAAAACAATTCAAAAGAGGAAAGATGGCTTTTCAACAAAAGGTTCCAGAGCAACTGGACATCCATCAGCAAAAAAATAAACTTTGACCTAATTCCCATACGTTATACAAAAATTAACTCAAAATAGACCACAGACTTAAATGAAAAAAAACCTAAATTATTCTGGAAAGGAAATTTTGGGATCTGAAGCTAGGCAAAGAGTTCTTCTATCTCTGACTTAATACCAAAAACACAATCCATTAAAGGAAAAAACTAATCAACTGGACTTCATCAAAATCTAAAACTTTTGATCTGTGAAAGACTCTGTTAAGAGGATAAAAAGATTCAGACTGGGAGAAAATATCTGCAAACCACATACCTAACAAAGGGCTATTATCTAGAATATATAAGGAAGTCTCAAAATTCAAAGGTTAAAAAAAGCAAATAATGAGAACACAAGTAAAAAACATGAAGAGATCGTTTACTGAAGAGGATAAACACCAATAAACACATTAAAAGATGTCCAACGTCTTTAGCTGTTAAGGAAATGCAAGCCAAAAACTAGAATGAGATACCACTATAACAAGCCCAAATGGTTAAGGTAAAAAATAGCAACATCAAATACTGTCAAGGATGTGGAGAAAATGAATCACTCACAGATTGCTGGCAGAAATACAAAAATAGTACAGCTCCTCCACAAAACAACCTGGCAGTTGCTTAAAAAAACTAAACATGTCATCACCATACAATCTAGCAATTGCACTCCTGGACATTTATGTCTCAGAGGAATGAAGAGTTGTATTAACACAAAAGCCTATCCATAAATGTTTAACAGCTTTATTATAATAGCCAGAAACTGCAACAACCCAGACGCCCTTCATGGATAAACGGTTAAACAATGATACATCTATATCATGGATGTACTACTCAGTAAATAAAAAGAAGATATCTACTGATACATGCAACAACCTGTATGAATCTCCAGAGAATTGTGCTGAGTGAAAACAATTTTTTTTCCATTTGATGCAAATGGATTCCATTTCTGCAAAATTCTTGAAATGACAAAATATAGAAATCGGGAAAAGATTAGGGGCTGCCAAGCGTTAAGGAGCAGGAACAGGTGGAAAGGAAATGCATGTGGGCATCCAAGGGCAATAGGAAACGAAAATGCTCTGAATCTTGGGGCACCTGGGTGGCTCAGTCATTTAGGCGTCCGACTCTGGCTCAGGGTCATGATCTAGAGGTTCATGGGTTCAGGCCCCAGATTGGGCTGTCTGCTGTCAGCACAGAGCCCGCTTCGAATCCTCTGCCCGCCCCCTCCCCTCCCTGCCTCTCTCCTGCTTGCACGTGTGCATGCTCTCTCTCTCTCACTCTCTGAAAAATAAACATTTAAAAAAAAGAAAAAAGAAAATGTTCTAAATCTTAACTGTATCAAAGTCAATACATTGGCTGGATATGGTACTACAGTTTTGCATGAGATTACCACTCACGGCAATTGGGTAAAGAGTACATAAAATCTCTGTAGTATTTGTTACAACTGCATGTAAAGTTGCAATTATCTCAAGTATATTTAATTAGGGCACACATCTATATTTTATTTTTTAATTTTATTTGAGAGAGACGGGGAAAGAGAGAGGAAGAGAGACTCTTAAGCAGACTCCATGCTCAGTGCAAAGCCTGATGTGGGGTTCAATCACACAACCGTGGGATCATGACTTGAGCCAAAATCAAGAGTCGGATGCTCCACTGACTGAGCCACCGAGGCACCGTTCCATATATGCTTTAATTAAAACACACAGCCCTGAATTTGGAAGCACATTTTGTCTCTCCATTTGTAAGCCTTAAAATATCAGATAAACACTTTTGATTGCTTTACAAACAAAACAAAACAAAACATACACACACTTGTCCTGCTCCCAAGCACCTTCCATTCTATGGGGGTGTGAACAGGTCATGAACAAATCAGAACCAGGCAGTAATAGATGTTATGCAGGACAATAGAGGGTAAGGGGACTTAGAGTGGAAAGGGAGTTAGTATGTCACAAAGAGATCACAGGGTATACTTGGTAAAGAGTATCATGAAACTGACACTAATATTAGTCAATCAATTTCAGGTTATAAACAAAGAATTCAAAAGCGGAAATGAATCAACAAATTTATTTTACAACATTCTCTACCCATTCTAACTTATGCACCATACAAATCTTTTTTAAGGGATTAGCTTATAATATGGTACTATCCTTTCTCAGATAGTTCTTTACCATTTATGATGTCAATTCCACTTGAGCAAAACATTCAGGTAAGGTCTTCTATGATTGCCATCACCTTTAATGGGAGGTAAACTGAAGTGCAGAGAAGGTAACTCTTACCTGCCCAATTAACCTGCTGGGAAGCCAGAACTAAGGGCGTCCTAAGCATTTTGTCTGCATCCCTATTATATTTACTATCACATTCCGCCTTGTATTCAAATGATTTTCACTGGACCTCCCTCCCCCCCACCACTGAAATTGCAAAGTATTATGGAAGGAACCTTTAAATAAGTAAGTAAGTGTGTGTGTGTGTGTGTGTGTGTGTGTGTACACGTACACACACACACACACACACACAAAGAAAAACTGTAAAAATTGACTTTTTCCACTATTACGCAAATTAACATTAAATAATGACGATCTTACAGGAGATAATGGCTTCAAGTAGAATGGAACGAGCTACCTTGAATTTCTCCCTGAGGATCTTTGTAATACCACTTCTGCATTGCTTCGTGCATCAATGGAATTGAGACTCCCTTAGCTCTGTGCTCTTGCAGTTTTGATGCCAATCTCTCATCATCTAGTGCGCTATCTTGGAGATAAGCCACCATCTTCTCAGCTTGCTAATAGAAAAACAAAAAAAATGGATTGAGGAAACAAATGACCCCAAATTAATACTAGTACACTTAATAAAAATGCCTACCTTTTTTGAACGACTTGATCTGTAAAAGGTAGTACTGTGCAAGAAACACAGCAGGCAACCATTTAATTCTTCCATCAATATCATGAAAATATGTACTATCCCCACTTTATAGAGGGGGAAACTAAGGCTCAGAGAGGTCAAATCTTGCTCACTCTCAAAATTATTAAGCAAAGCAAACTGAAATTAAAACACAAACTGGTAAGGATCAAAGCCCAGGCTTCTTCTAATCAACACATTAAGAAGATTACTTTTAAAACCAGTAAGCCATTGGTCAATTCTGAAACGTATAATCTAAACCTGTAAAAACATGGGTGTTAATACAACAAAGGCTCAATGAATAAAATTACAAAAGTTTTACAAGTTTTACTAACACACTGCCCACTTTCTTTCTTTCATCAAGCATTTCCTGCCACCAACCACCACCCCAGAGCAAAGGAAAGCAGGTCACCATTTACATCCAACAAAGGTATACTTAATCTCAGGGAAATCTAGAGATGAGAATACGATGTTAATATCCTGAGAGTTTAACTATTCCCAGTTACACTTTAGGTAAAAAATACAGAAGACGCTGTGCCCATCCACAGCTGCTTGTATTTGCCATTTTTGGCATTCCATTAATTTCCAAAAAGAAAAAAGAAAAGCAAACAGCCAAGGGCAACCTCAGAAGAGAAAAAATAACCTGACATAATGACTACTACATAGCAGAAACTTAAAAGCATGAAATGATTTGAAAGACAATTACTCATACAAATAAATACTAGATTTAAAACAACTTTTCCAGTACATAAAATCTAATGCACAAAAGTTCCATTTCTGAATATCTGTTCAATGCTTTTCAATTTTTATGGTGCTTTGAGAGGAGAAAAAAAGAATTGCATGATTTTTACCTGCTCCAAATGTTTGAGGCCCTCTTCATCATCTGGTTCTGTGGACACACTGCCCATACCAGGAGCACCTACGACCGGCGTTTCAACTGGCCGCAGGGCAGGACGAGGACTGGGAACAGGAGGTGGAAGTATGAGAAGGGGAGAGGCTGCATCTGAAGGAATCTGGGACAGGGACTGCTGGACATCAGAAACCGTTTCTAGAGGGGAAAAAAACACAGAAACATGAAAAACCTTTAAACTACGGAGGTTCTCATGAAGAATAACTAGCTCTCCATCAAGTTGGGCCACTCACTAAATGGGCTCAAGAGAAAGGTGAATGTATCAAACACTGCAGTTTTTTTTTTTTTTTTTTTGAGGCGGAGAGAAGGGGGTGTGGGGGGGGGGGGTGTGAGTGTGGGTGTGTGCGCATGCGTGCAGGTATGAGCTAAGTAGGGGCAGAGAGAGAAAATGAGAATCCCAAGCAGGCTCCGCACTGTCCTCACAGAGCCCAACGCAGGTCAGGAGCCCTGAGATCATGACCTGAGCCAGAATCAAGAGTTGGATGCTTAACCGACTGAGCCAACCAGGCACCCCTCACTGCAGCAACTTCTTACGGAGAAGTGTAGTATTTCTCCCTACGATGACAGCAGTTAACTCTACAGAATGACAAAATATAAGGATTAAAAGGTCCTCCTACAGTGCCTGCCTGTGTCACTACAGCATCTGCCCAACAGTGACACATCTACCTCTTGAAAACAAACAGAATCAGACCAATGTTATCTTTATAACGTGTCTCCAAATAGCAGACTGTTAACAAAGCACTGCAAATCTCCTCAAAAAATGTTGTATCTCACCATCAAAACTTTGATTAAACGTATCTGCATGTCTCTTAAATAAGAACCTATTTCAGGTGATAATAAATGTAATGCAATACATTAGTTTTTAGGATAACAAAGAGCTCCTGGGAGTCTACATGTACAGTGCAGACGGTCTTCTCAATAAGAAAAGAGACCACAAAAGAGGTTCTGTTTTGGGTCCTGTTTCTAACCTCTCAGGATGCAGGCTCTTAAAATAAAAAGGGGGATGAAAGTAATTAGATACAATTGCAGCTTCCCCTTTGGAACCTTATTGGTTCAATTACAGACAGCTTCTCCACATTCCCATTCCTCTCAGTCTTTCCTTTCTTTGCCAAACTCCTTAAAAGAACAGTCTATGCACTGCCACCCACACCTGCTACATACACTGTGACTTCCACTTCCACCCCTCCAACACAGCTTCTCTCCCAAAGAGAAGCAGTGACTCAAAGTCCCCAAATCCAATGGCTTTACCTAGTCCTCATCTTCCGACCTCAGTAGCCTCTGACATTATCTACCCAAGCCTAAACTAAAACCTTCTCCATTCCTTCCTTTCTCTTCACTCTAGTCCACTCTTGTCTCTGAAGATTTTTCTCTGGCTACTCTTTACCTACCCTCTAAAAATGGGAATTTAGCCCTAGATGCCTGATACACATATCCTTTATCTCCCTCGCAGATTATCAATCTAGAGTTTTCATCTTTAATGCACATCTATGAAGCTTTCTCAAAATACACACATCCGGACTCCATCCTAGGATCTCCTAGAGTAAGGTCCCAGGAATGTACATTCAACAGAAAGAACCACAAGTAATTTGGGGGCACATCGTAACTGAAAAATGACTACTACGTATCAAACAGGTCTCAAAATGGACAAGTCGCCCAGTGCCTAATAGAGATTCAAATACTCGCTGAATTCACTCACTAAGCTTTGTCCTGGACATTTAACTCTGAAGAGAAATCTTTGGCTTAAGCCCTCAAAATATCAGTCTACTGAGTAAAAAAAATAATAAACAGATCTTTCTAATACTGTATTGCTATGTGAGGAATAGTGTCAATTGTTTAAGAAACTAGAGAAGATACCTAATGTGGCTTGGGAACTTCGGACGGGAGAGAGTTTCAGGCACAGAGAACAGCACGTGCTAGGGCACACTTGAGGACCTAACAGGCTATGAGGCTGGGGAACAGAGGAAGGAGACAGAAGTGGCGCTCAAACTGTACAGAGGCAGGCAGATGCCAGGTTATGCAAGGTCTCACAGGCCACGTTAAAGTTGTGACTTTTTATGGAGACTCAATCCATTAACCCTTCAACATCAGGAATTACAATGTCAATTTTATGTATGTACCAGAAGAAACATGGAAGTAAACATTAATACTACCCACTAAGGCATATGAGGCGAAGTAAAATCAAAACAGTAATACTGGAGAAGGAGATATGTTTTAAGCTTATTCACTAGCAAAGGTGGTAGGACCTCCACAGCTTCATCCATATTCTTTTTGGCCTCTTTTGAAGCAACAGCATTTTAGTGTGCCTTCTGGACATACATCCTGCAGCCACTGGGAAGGTAGCTGTCTGATGTGAGAATCAAATTACTGTGGAGGATCTGAAACCCTGTCTGCTCCGCTGATAACCAAGGTGACCATGTCATAACCTTGTAGAAAGCGAGATTCCCGAGCTCCACCTTCGTTTCCTCTCTGTTTCGGTGAATTCTGGGAAGGACACATACATGGGAAGCAGAGTTTGACTAAGTTTACTAGTGAAATAATCTGTTTCAGTAATTCACCACTAGAAGCAGCTCCAGGAGGCATAAACGGAAACCCATCTTATCAATGATCACTGGCCTGGGCAGAATCCTGTTTTAGCTTATCTACTCTCAGAAATACATACCATCCCCTCTGCTGGGCACTTTGGTTGGCAGGCTATTTTCCGTCTGACTCTCCTCCTCAGCTTTTTCTGTTTGCTCAGTTTGGGGTTCCTCCTTCCTCTCAAACTGTGGTGCTTCCTGAGGCTGATGGTCTGAAGGAGTACCTGGTCTAGCAGATGATGATGAGGTCTGAGATGTTTCCTCACTAGCTTCTGTAACATAAAGTAATCTTAAATTAGCACCTTAGGAAGCTTTTGATCTGATGAAAAGAAGGTACAAGACAAAAATGAGCCTTACCAACTCCTACTCTATCTGTCTTCTCTCCCTCTTTCCTATTTGTCTTATCAGGTTCTTTGGCTTCTTCGTTATGGCTGCTCTCAGAATCGGAGCACTCCCCCCCTTCCTCTACAGGCCGGAAGTCCATCTCCTGCTCTTCTGGGATCGGCTCTTTCTGGACTTTCTGTGTCAAGAAAATAAAGCCGAAGGTCAACAGTACATTTGGCTTTGGTGGAAGGTCGGTGTGTGTCATGACATTTAAAACAGATTTCCTACCTTCAGAGAGAGGAACGCTCCGGAGGAGTCAAATGTGCCCATCTCTTCTTCAGCATCCTCTAGGCACCATTCGGGCAAGCTGTCCCGGTCATCGTCCATGCTTCCACTGCCAGAGCGCACCCTTCGGTAACCCCGTTCATCATCCCGATCTCGAAAATCAAACTCAAACCTTCGCCGTCGTTCCATGTGTTCACGCCAGCCTGCAGAACGAGGGCCATCTGGGATGAGGAGGATACAGACCTTAGAAAACTTTCATGACAGTATTTGAAAAAGAAAATCATGAATAGGAAATAAAGGAGAAAACTATGATTAACTGTGAAATCAAATGGATCAATCAACTAAAGAGAAAATTAGGCAAATTAAATCAAGTTAAGAGCTTAGCATACAAATGATACCACTAAGTGACAATAGTGGTTATCTTCAATAAGTACTGAGCCACACAACATACTCTACAGTTTTGAAAGATAAATTTGAAACAAATTACTTTTAAAGGACACTCTACTCAAAGTATACATTTTGGATAAGCTTTGGCTATGTGACCGAAACTTCAGTTAGCCATTCACAGGGCACACTCCTAGCCCAGATCTGTTACACTCACCATGTGACCATACCTGAAGTTCCTGCCTTCCCTTTGGCAGGTCTTACACCTTTTCCTTCTTCTCATAAAAATACCATTCTTTATTATGGATACGACCACCCCCCTGTGTCAATTCCTAATATCAAACTCATCATGCCAACTTGCTAGTGACAAGATTCCAGTTGGAATTCTGATTCCCAAGAAAAAGTCATGGAATTACAGCATTGACAGATGTCAAAGATTTTATATAGGCCACTATCCTAATTTTATAGTTTAAGAAACAAAAATTCTGACAGAAGTAACTTGCATAACGGCAAAGCAGAACTAGAATCGAATTCTGCATCCAATGCTGCTTTTTCCACAACAGCATGCTTACTTTCCTTTTCCTTTATTCTCAACTCTTAACTCTCCCCAGGGAGTTTTTATTTCTGTATAATACCCCCAGGGACATTCCTAAATCCACCCTAGCATACTGTTTATTACATCTACTTTCCAACAGAAAAAGACTTCCTAAGAATAAAAGATGTCAGTTAACGTATTAAACACACACACACACACACACACACACACACACACACACACACACACACACGGGAAATCTTGTTAATATCTGACAAACCTGAGTCTAAGAAAGCCTTCAAAAGAGAGACAAGGTTTAACCTATTAAAATTTTCTATCTTTTTGAATGCTTTCTCTGTGGGAGATACAGAAAAGAAAGGAGCCAAAGTCAAATGTTCTTACTACTGAGGCTCAATTTGCTAAAACTAGCAGTCTAAAATTCAAACTGAAAATAAGAAGGCAAACATCAGCCCAATAGATGTAGCTACTTGTAAGTCACTCACAAAAAAGATAAGAAACATTATTCCCACACTCCTTTACTTACAACAACTATTGCCTTCTATGAAAACTAAGGAGCTTTATATCCAGTTTGCTTATATGCAAACCTAGAATCATTACTCAAAAGAAGTATTCATGACCCAGTGCTGAATTCCTGAGAACTCTCTCTACTACTATCATTTCTAAACCGTCTGTTAAGTATGCACCATGATAGGAATCTATCCTTCTAGGCATCTGGCTCATGTTTTCCTCTTACTGAGTTTCTTAAGTTCACTTCCCAGAGTGGATGCTTAGCTGTCCCTACCTTAATAGTTGCATCTCCATACGTATCCACTTTTGAGCCCTACTTAAACCAAACATCGCAGATAAGGCACATCTACAGCTTATTAAGACTGATCACTGCTTTTTAAGGCTTTCCAACATATACGTCTGCTACAATTTTTATAATATAAAAAATCAGTCAAAACCATTATATTTAAACTTTGAATCAAATCATAAAAGAATAAAGTATAATCTAAGAAATGTTAACAGTAATTTATACAACTGATATAATCAGACTTAGCTTTTAATATGCTTGGTTGAAACAGCAGATAGTGTCCTTTTTAAAAAATGCTATTTCCACTGATTTTTCAGCCCCATGTATCGTTATATACCCCAAACTGTCTTTCGAAAATATACCAATATAAAATTTGGGGAAATTGTTAACTTAATGACAAATAAATTGGACATGAAAATCACGTACCAGGGAGAAAGGCTTAAGAAAAAGACAACATATAGCCAAAATCGAAGTTGCTGGGGTGTGGGGTGAAAAGGGTCAGTGGTAGAATATACACTAAAATTTTACTTCATCTCCTTTATTAAAGGGATTCTGTTAAGAATCAACATCAGATGTTTGGGCTCACAAACATTGTTGATCTTCCAAAACATTCACCTTGTTTGTTTTTGATCAGCTGGAATTTTTCTTCTCGCTCAGTCCAGATCCTGTCCATTCTTTCACTGAATGCTTGTTGGGAACACAGTCTACAAATCCTTTTGCTTACAGGCAAGCTCAGCACAAAATGCTGCGATGCCTTGAAGAGAACTACGACATTTGGTTGCCCAGCACACAGACTGGTGAGAACTGCCTAGTTAACTGTGATGTAAACAATGCCTACTAATGACAGAAAACTCACCCATGAGGCAGCCACGAGGAGTTGTGATGAAAGCATCAAAACTCTATCCAAAGATCAACTTCATTCTGTTTCTACCTATCTACAAGTACATAAAGCACTCTGAATGTTTGTTATAATGTTTACTCAGACCGAGACTAGTGACTTTGCTAATAATTTGATTTTAAAATGTAAATGCAACCAGTTTGCTTATGATTTCTTCTATGAAAAGTAAGCTTCTTTGGCATATGGTTGACAGCTAAAATAATGTTACGCACATGAAATTCAGAAGGCAAATATACACTCTGTAAGCTTCAGTTCTGCATGACCCCACGATTCAAACTACAGTGGCATCTGATTATCATGAGGCATGGAATCAGCACTTTGGTAGGGGATGAACTTTGACACAAAGCACCAGTGTCTTCAATTACCAGCATATCTAATGTCAGGGAAGAACAGTTTGAAGCATTCTTAAGAGTCAAACAGAAGAACTTACAAAACCACTAATCACTACTCTTCTCTCTCCTTTTTCTAAAGTTAGAAGGACAAAAGAATGAACTTGTGATTACGTTTTTGACCTGGGTTTAAAGTTTATTCTTCAAATAAGCTTAAATCACATTTTCAGGACAAAAAACAATTTGAAAGAATAAATCCTTTATTACGCAGGAAAAATACCCATTTGAGTAGGAGCACATATTCCTTAGTGAGCATATAATTATACATTTGTAAGTTTTAAAGCAATGCTGAAAAAGATAGATTTAGCATTAGACAAAACCAAATGAAACCCTCTTACATTTTTGCAGTTAAGGGTAGGTGCTTCCCATTAACACTATTTGCTCCAGAAAAATAAAGATGATTTTCATCGAATGAATAGATGTGGGGAACTTTCATGTTGAAAATGTTTTGTCGGGGCACCTGGGTGGCCCAGTCAGTTAAGCGTCCGACTCCAGCTCAGGTCATGATCTCATGTTCATGAGTTCGAGCCCCATGTTGGGCTCTGTGCTGACAGCTCAGAGATTGGAGCCTGCTTCCGATTCTGTGTCTCCCTCTCTCTCTGACCCTCCCCTGCTCCCGCTCTCTCTCTCACTCTTAAAAATAAATAAACTTAAAAAAATTAAAGAAAAGAAAGAAAGAAAATGTTTTGTAGTAATAAGCCTGAGTACAATGACATAAAGTAATTGGCGCCTCTTTACCAGCTTACCTTTCCTGCTTAATCTGTAAAAATTTCCTTATTAAATACTCACTTATTTTGGTCCCTGTGCCCTCACTCAGATCTCTTACCAGGACTGTGCGGCCGCCACCTCTCTCCATCCCTTCTTGATCCAGCTAGTCGCCAACCTCCATCTTCATCTTCTCCATTTTGTTCCTCTCTAAAAATGCGCCAATTTTCACTTTCTGATCGTATGAATTCATGCTTTCTTCCCACTGATGTTGGTCCACCTTCCTCAAAATTTGGTCTCCCTGTAATGAAAATAAGTAACCATGTGCCTTGGCCACTGAGGATTCTGAAAAGAGACTGGACTGCCCAAATCAAGCTTTTGTGCGAATGTGTCAATTTCAACATTCAGGCAGTGTAAATGAAATAACTGCAGGTATATGCATAGATTACTAGATACATTTCTTAAAGTTTAATGTTCACAGACTGGGCAATTATTTTTCAGATAATACATGCATTAAAAAAAAAAAGGGTATGCAATGAAAAGTGAATCAACCTACCTCACCCAGCACGTACTACTTTTTTTTAAGTCATATAAGATTTTCAATTATGTGACATATCTAATTTAATTTAACTTCTACTGGCGATTCTGCCTAAATAGGGTATCTGTGAAATTCAACTGGTCTTTTATCCTAAAACACACTGTAAACTCAAAGGTAGAGAGTGTGAACTAAAATTTTTCATTCACTCTAACACCTATTACATTATAGACAGACAAATTGCTTTTGAAAAGAATTCAAAGCTAAGCTATGTGTAACCTAATGCAAATTAAGAGTCTATTAATGATGAAAGAGAGACTGGTATACACCAAGCAAACAAAACTGGTATTTTCAAAGGACAAGACAAATCCAAACTGTGCAAATTCTTTAGTCACCACCCTACATGTTCTAACACAATTCGTAACAGATGATATAAAATCTTACATTACATTAGTTGAAAATCCAGAACATACACTGATATCTTCCATTTGTAACAATTAAAGTTCCATATACTTCAGTGACAGCCTCAATTCTTTTCACTAAACCACAGTGAAAGTGAAAGAATGTTGTACAGTTCCATCTGAAAATGAGGGAACTCTAATGTTTTGTCATTCTCTTATATGCCATTTCATATGTAGTGAGATTCAATATCCTGTCTGCCCAAACAGCTATTAGGTTGTTACTAGCTTATTATTCTCTTGAAGGATAAAATACCTGGAAACGGGGGGAAGGGGGGGTGCAAGAATTTGCTGGGCAGAATACTATCTGCTTTCTTATGCAGGCAGCCTCTAAGACAGCCCCCAACAAGCCCTGCCTTCTGGCTTTTGTGTAATCCCCTCACCCGAAGCGTGGGCTTCACTTACTGACTTGCTCCCAACAAAGAGAATACAGCACAAAGTGATAAGATGTCATTGCCAACAAATATTAAGTCACAAGCAACTGTGAATTCCCCCTGGGATGCTCTCTCTGAGGCAATCCAGCTGCCATGCTCACACGGCAAAGAACTGAGGCTTGCCAACAGCCACATGAGTGCGCTCGAAAATGGATCCAACCCCAGTCAAGCCTTCAGATGACTGCAGCCCCAGCTAACACCTTGATAGCAGCCTTACAGCCTCATGAAAGACTCCGGTCAAAGCCATCCAGCTATGCTGCTCCTTCCTGAACCACAGAAACTAAGATAATAAATGTTTGCCGCCACTAAGTCTTGAGGTAATTTTGTTACACAGCCACAGATAATAAAAACACTCATTTCTAAGTGTTTTTACACGCCACTATTTGAACAGCATGGACAGGATTCAAATATTGATCTTCTGACACATTCAACAAATATTTCTTACACATTAAGTGCCAAGTTTTATGAATTCATGTACAGATATCCCATGTCTGCCCTTGGGTTAGAAGGCCTTCCAGGTTCTCTTGCTCAGAAGAGGGGCAACCCATTTTACAGAGTACCACATCTGCTGACATAACTTGATGAAAAATGTAGCTACACTCAAAAAAAGAAACCTAAAGAAATCCCTAACACATAAAAAGAGATAGATAAGAGACACATATAGATACATGATGGGAAATGGCCTTCAACCCACGTAAACAGTCAGTCACAAGCAATATGTGCCAGGTACCATGCAATAATTTGGGAATACAGCAGTAATCACATGATGGATGAGCCACACAAACACTATGTTTCACCTACTTTTACACTAAGCCTTTGAAAAAGTAATGAATGTACCAAAGTAAGCAAAGAGCATGAATAGTAAAATGTTTAACTCATCAAAAACTGGTCACTAATTCTTTCTAACAGAGGATACACTGCAAAAAAAGAAAATTAAAAATAAAAATACTAGTAATCCCTCAATCTGAGAAACAGAACTCTATCCATAGTTAGCTTTTACATAACTTTGTATTTTTATATAGCTGTAATCAGTACACCCACTATTTTATAATCTACTCTTAATGTATAGCAAATATTTCTCTGTGATTCTACATTGTCCTAACAATACAAGTGGGTATATATATACACTAGGTATACCTTGCTGCTACTGCATAATCTACTACACTTGACATTTACTTTATCATCAATTTTTTGTGAACTATAGATAAAGTAAGAAATATCTGCTTTTCTGAACTAGGTCTTCTGAAAAAAACCCTCAAAAGAGTGAAATTACTAGTGAAATGACAGACTTCATCCACTGACACGACTTTATCCCCCTCAAAAAAAAGGGTCAAATCACCACACCATTTTACATTATGGACACTAAGTGCAGCTATCCTTTTAAAACCTTTACTACTTTAACAGTTATAAAAAATGGTATACTAATGTGGCTCAAAGATGAATTTTTCATATCATTTTTCATATTGTTTACTAATCTTACGTCCCTTAATGTTAATTATTTGCATTTTTATTCTAAATTAACAGCTTCTTCACCTTTGTAACTGTGAAGTCCTATATATATTTTTCATATTAGTACCTAGGAATAAGAAAAATATAAAAAACAGGACAGGACAGGGCACCTTTCTGGCTCAGTTGGTAGAGTGTGTGACTCTTGATCTCGGGGTTCTAAGTTTGAGCCCCACGTTGGATGCAGGGATTACTCAAAAATAAAATCTTAAGAGGTGCCTGGGTGGCTCAGTCAGTTGAGCATCCAACTCCAGATTTTGGCTTGTCATGATCCCAGGGTCATGGGAATCAGCCCCACAAAAGCCTCCTCACTGAGCCTGAAGCCTGCTTGGGTTTCTCTCTCTCCCTCTGCCCCTCTCCTCTTCTCTCTCTCTCTCTCTCTCTCTCTCTCTCTCTC